GTTCCCTTCTTTAACACCAACGTTACGCAAAATTACACATTCAACATCATTAAGAATTGCGTAATTATCTCTTAAACAAAGGTCTTTCAGAAACATTATTCTGCCAAACTGTCCTAATATTTTTGCATAATAAATAGTTACTGGTTTATCAGTGAACTTTTTTTCAATGCAGTTGAACATATGCAGTACCTTTAGCTTTCTAATCGAACCATAGACATGCACAGTTTCGCAGTTCTCATTGATTTCCATAGAATAAAACCATCCCATGTTTATATCCACTAATTTCACTGTTTTTATATTTCCTTTCAATTTAACCGAAGCATTTATTGTCACACGCTCAAGCGACAGCGAAAGAAGCTTGTTAAAAACATCTTTGCAATGATTAAACTTGTAGTCTTTTATGGTAAGCGATTGTAAACAAGTACATCTTGAAAACTCGATCTTTCCGTTGCAATTATCGATCAATAAAACTTCACAATCATCATTAATCCTTAATTTCACATTTTCGTGTACCACCACAGACATTAAGTTTACCGTGTGTATGTTGTTCTGTATAACTGTTTCATGAGCAACAGTAGCTTTCTTTATTGATAAACGACGTTTGGCATTTGACGAATCATTTACAAACACCAAATCACCGGCACACAAGTGTAAGCTTGATGAGAATACTGGTGACATTTTCAAGACAAGCGGGATGCCAAAATGTCCTATACAATTCCTGATGATGATTCTTTCACATTCATGATTTACCACAATGGATGAATGAAAGGCTACTCGGAGCCGATACAACAGCATTCTTTTTATGGAGTTTGCCAATTGCAGAATTTCATTGTTGATGTTACATGATGACACTTCAATTTCATACACAGGATATGATAGATAGTGACTTGGAAAATCTTTAAGATAATTGCACAGTATTATTTTCCTAAAATCATTTTGTGGAGAGACAATTCTACCTCGGCAGTTGTCCAAACATAGATTTTTGCATCCGTTAAGAAACTCTAATCCGATATCATCACATAATTGCAAGTTCTGTAGCAGGGCTGTTCGTATTTTATGTGAAATCAATATCATTTCGTTAAAATTATTTTCAACTATTTTACAATCGTAAACATTATCCTTTACTTTGTGAAACTGCACAATACCTTGGACATTAGATAGATATACCTGTCTTGTTCTAGCGATTTGGATTCCAGGAATGATAAATCGGCCCTTGCAATATTCGATTGACAAACTGTTGTATCCAGCGTTGATTTCAAAAATATGTTCATTCTCAATTTGTGTATAGATCAAAAATACTTTTTGAATGACATTCTTACCAAACGATATTGTTTTGTTGATCTTAGCATATTTTAGGATAAATTTACTTTGTTCATTGTTGTTAATACATTGGAAAAACAACCAGTCGTAATAATTAGATAATCGAGATATCACTTTGACATAGCAGAGGAAAGGTAGATCTAGAGGAGAGCTGATAATATATGTTTCCTTCACATTTAAGTCGCTATCAGTTCCACAATACAAGTCATTATTTAAGATGTTATGTTCAGAATTACTATCATTTTCTCTAAAATCATCATACACATCAAATTGAACGTTTCGAATGTATATTTTTCGTATACTTCTCCTTGTGTCACTAACAAACATAAAAGCAGATGAAGAAGCTTGTACTTTGAATTTTAACCAGGTAGCAAAGTCAGTTAGATCAAAACTTCCTTTGCAGTTTATCACTGTAATCTTTTTGCATGATCCATGTATTCTAACCGTGGTATTGTCAGTAACTTTTACATTTTCTAGATAAAGAACGTTTGTGTTACAGCC